TGTAACTGACACACAGTGTCAGTTACACAGAGCCAAAGAGGAGCAAAGCGGGGGCTCTGCTCCTCTTCGGCTCTGTGTAACTGACACACAGTGTCAGTTACACAGAGCCAAAGAGGAGCAAAGCGGGGGCTCTGCTCCTCTTCGGCTCTGTGTAACTGACACACAGTGTCAGTTACACAGAGCCCCCGTGGCTGGAGGCTCTGCTCCTCTTCGCCTCTGTTTAAGAGCCGGGCTGCCCGAAGCCGGTAGCGCTGGGGCAGCCCGGCTCTAAAACAGAGCCGAAGAGGAGCAGAACCTCCAGCCGCGGTGGCTCTGCTCCTCTTCGGCTCTGTGTAACTTACACAGTGTAAGTTACGCAGAGCCGCCGGAGCCCCGGAGGGGAAGTGGGCGCTTCCCCTCCCGGGCTCCAGCTGCGCTGGGGAAGCGCCGGCCGGGGGCGCAGGCTCTGGGGGCTGCCCGGCAAACTGTGAAGCCGGTAGCGCTCGGGCAGCCGTTTCCCCCTGGCTGGGAGTGGGAGGGAGGAGGGGGCGGAGTTAGGGTGTGGAAGGGGCGGAGTTGGGGCGGGGCTAAGGGTGGGGAATGGGCGGGGCCAGGACCCGTGGAGGGTCCTCTTTTTTTATTTATGAGATATGGTAACCCTAGTAAATTACGTAGAAGGTGGAGCTGGTCAAAATCCTGGCCCCCACCTCACAACCTGGGGTCTAAGGTTGCAGTGAATGCCGTATCATTCACAAATCATAATAGAGATTTTGTGCAAAGGTAGTCCAGGGGAGCTGCACAGGCACATGCATTGCACCAATAAAGTTGCCTCATATATCTCAATTGGGTGTTCACTCTGAAACCTAACAATGAAGATTTCAATACATTTCAACTCCACTTAGGTGCTCAGATAACACAGGTGAGGAGATGAGGATGAGCGCTATGCAGAGAACACACAGAAGTAGTTTTCTATTAATTTTCTGGTTTAGTTGTTTTCCACAACTGTTATGCCTATCCGGCAATTCCAAACCACTACTTATACCTTCCAAAGAGCCAAAAGACTCAGCTGTAACCTATCTAGCTCCTGAGTTCTCTCTTAAAATCTCTGACAATGCAACATTCTCACTAAGGCAGCTTATGGCACACTGAGAATTTAAGTACATAATAAAATAAATTCTACACATTCTTCTATTATGGTAATTAGTGAGACTGTCTCATCTGCATAGGATCTTTTGGGCCTGAATCCAGCCTCTTCTCCCCTAAGCTTTGAATCCACTGCCTCTTTTGTCCTTTGTAGAACCACACTACAGATGATTTCCCCTACAACAGAGAGTAGTGTGACTCCCCTCCAGTTATTGCCGTCAGTGAGATCACCCTTTTTAGGTACTCTGCCAACGATTCCATGTTTTCACTTGTCAGGAGGAGTCTCTTCTCCCCAGAATTTAGAACAGTTCTGTCAGTTTTATTAGGGTAGTGGGGTCAAGTTCTTTTAGCTTTTCTGCTGCGATTTGATCATCACCTGCCATTTTGTTGTTTTTCAGCTTCTTTATTGCATCCTGTATTGCTGACATCTCTGTTGCATCAATATTAATGCCAAGTAGATAATGTTCACATGTTTCATCAATATCTGGTGTTGAGCTCGTGCTGACTCTGTTGAGGACTTGTCTGAAATGCTCTGCCCATCTGTCATTCTGTTACACCTCAGTTGTAAGCCTTTTTTCATCTTGGCTTTTTCTTGGCCCATTTCCTCTTTGAAATGTCCACATTTTTCACTGCATTGTCTGATTTCTTGTACTTTTCCTTTGCTTTTTGCAGTATTTCGTTTGTCTTAGCGTTCAGGAGTTTTCCTTTCAGTGCTTTTCTTCCTTGTTGAGATGCGACGTCTCTTGGCTTATCCAATCCTTGCTCTGTGTGTGCTGATACCAGGCTGTGACTGCTACAGCTTGAATCACATTGTCTCAGAGCACTGTGCAGTTTTCTTCAGGTCCAATCTCTATCTTACCTTCCTCTGCCTCTGTCAGCACCCCAAATCTGTTCCATAGTTCACGTTGGAATTTCTCAGAGCACACATTTGTTTTCAGTTTTATATTATTGATTTCTTTGCTGCGTTCTGTTTAAAGTTGGTCTTTCTCAGTTTTAATTTCAGTTTGGCAATGCAAAGATTTTGGATGCTCCTGTCATCTGTGGCTTGATGTGCCCTTGCATCTTGGACAGATGACCCAAATCTCAAACTGATGCCGATGCAATTGATTTCTTTTTTTTTTTGCCATCTGTCAAATTCCATGGTTCTTTGTGTATGTCTCTAGAAGGGAACGGGGTGCTTGCAGGAACTAAGTCAGACACCAAGCACAATTCAGTGAATTTCAGGTTTCCTTCATCATTGATATCATTGATTTTCAAAAGGTATTTGACAGTCTGCATGGGCATACATTGTGGAATATTCTTCAGTCCTGCAAAATTCCAGCTAACCCCGTCAACACCACCCTGGCCATGTACGGAGATGCAAGGTTGCTCTATAAGAGTGAACAACCTAACAACAGAGTGGTTCATTGTGGACAAATATGTGAAAGAGGGCTGCATTTTATTTTGCTTTTGTTTGGCATTTCCATAGACAGGATAATGAAGAAGTGTATTAGTAACACAAAAACTGGTAACCAGATGTCAAAAGCCTACATGGGGAACATGGGGAGCAATTCAGCAGATAAAGGTATAATACTATTCAATGGCTGGCAGTTGAATCTAGACAAATTTAGACTGGAAATAAGGCATAAATGTTTAATTGTGAGAGTAATTAACCACTGTAACAATTTACCAAGGGTCATGGTAGATTCTTGATCAATGACAATTTTTAAATCAAGATTGGATGTTATTCTAAAAGATATGTTTAGGAGTTATTTGGGGGAAGTTTTATTGCTTGCGTTAGACAGGAAGTCAGACTAGATGACCACAATGGTCCCTTCTGGCCAGAGAATCTTTTAATCTATGAATCTATCAATTTAATTCTAGGTTTGTGATCACTAATCCATCAAAAGCAATGGAAAATATTATATATAAATAAATAATCCAGGACATAAAAGTGCAAATATTTTGTGCTGGGTGCAAGTACCATTCTGTGGTGCTAGTGGATTCTAGAGGTAACAGTACAACTTGTATTAGTTATCATGTAATGGTCTGTCTGTTTGTGGAAAAAACAAAACTTGTCCTCAGATCCCTAGATTAGAAGATGGATTTAGCTTGACCTTTATCTCATGTTTACGGTGAAAGATAATCCAGGATAAGGCTGTGAATAAAAACAGGAACTGGAATAAAATCTCTGTGAGCCCAAATATCCCCCCAACAGCAGAGGGGAGAGAAGCTGAAAAAAGGAAGTCTGCTCCATTGATTCTGCAGCTGTTCTTGGGAGAGTATTAGGACACAAAAATGTCAATAATTGAATGGTTTTTCTGTCTGAGATCATTAACATTTATTTCTATAATTTTTCTCCTTCATATGTACTGGCTGGTTCCTGGTTGGATCACGTCAGAGGCTGGTCCACCCACAGGGATGACTTCAATATTCTCTTCCTCACCTATGAAGAGATGAAGAAGGTGAGACCAGTCAATGACTTTATATCTGAAAGAAACAGTAAATAAAATGCCTCCATTTTTCAGTCAGATTTTGCTATCCTTACTCACACTGAGTTATACTTCACTCTGTGAAGAGTCTCATTGATTTCAATGCCAGTACTTGAAAAAGTACTTCTCAGTGTGAGTAAGTGTGGAAGAATCAGAACCATAGGGTGAGATGTTCAGAAGCACCAAAGTAAGTTAGCCACTTAACTCCCATTGACATTCAATAGCACATAGGAGCCTAATTCACTTAGTCACAAGAGGTATCATTTGCTTCCTAATGAAGAATATCTGTTGGATGTGAGTACAGTTAGAAAAGATAATAATCTTGCTTTACTTCATTTCCTTTTCTGCATAGCAGGATGGCTGCTACACAACCCATCCCAGGAGGCATCCTAAAGGGAAAGGAGCTTCTCAAACCGCTTTTAGAAGTAAAGATGTTTTATCAAAATGGCATTTTTTGCAAAACTGAAGATCTTCTTGTAATTTTTTTGTGAAAAATCATATTTTATTGCACTGTCTATTAAAAGCTAGGTTTTTAGTAAATAAAATATTTTAATAACTATTTTGATGTTTTCAATAAAGATATCTATGTGAAATCTTTGAAAAGTACAGAACTCTTCAAAATTCCAATTTTTTTTAGAAACTAGTTTTTCACTTTTCTACCAGCTCAGCTAGCTTTTAACTCCTTAACAACTTCACCTAGCTTAGCAGAAGTCAGATTTAAACTACTTTGAGTGTCCATACATGGGTTTGTTCTAGTTGAACTAAATCAATTTTAAACTGATTTTAGTCACACTTTATAAACAAGGTCTGGAGTATCTGAGTGCACCTCTTAGCTAAATAGGTAGTGATGCAGCAGCATCCTCTCTGCTGACTTCAGCAGGAAGCATGTTGATAGTAGTAGTAAGGCTGATTAACAAAGCGAGGAAAGACCCTTCCCATTAAGAGGTCCAACTCCTGATATATATATTCATAGATTCCAAGGCCAGAAGGGACCATTGTGATCATCTTGTCTCACCTCCTGTATAACACAGACCGCAGAACTTCCCCAAAATAATTTCTACAGAAGATCTTTTAGAAAAATATCCAATCTTGAGTCAAAAATTGTCAGTGATGGAGAATCCACCATGACCCCTTGGAATATTGTTCCAATGGTTAATTACCCTCACTCTTAAAAATGTTAACCTTATTTCTAGTCTGAATTTGTTTAGCTTCAACTTCCAGCCTTTGGACTGTGTTATTATTTTCTTTGCTAGACTGAAGAGCCCATTAATAAATATTTGTTCCCCAGGTAGGTAATTATAGTCTGTAATCAAGTCACCTCCTAACCTTCTCTTTGTTAAATTAAATAAGAACATAAGAACGGCCATACTGGGTCAGACCAAAGGTCCGTCTAGCCCAGTGTCCTGTTTTCCGACAGTGGCCAATGCCAGCTGCCCCAGAGGGAATGAATGGAACAGGTAATCATCAAGTGATCCATCCCCTGTTGCTCATTCCCAGCTTCTGGCAAACAGAGTCTAGGGACACCATCCCTGCCCATCCTGGCTAATAGCTATTGATACACTGAGCTCTTTGAGTCTGTCACTGTAAGGCATGTTTTCTAATGCTTTAATCATTCTTGTGACTATTCACTTAACCCTCTTCAGTTTATCAACATCCTTCTTGAATTGTGGACTCCAGAACTGGACACAACAGGGGTCCTTCTGCTTCCAAAATAGGTTGCTACAGACAGACCAAAATACAGATACCCAGAAAATTATAACAACCTTTGTCATACATGGTGCTAGCAGTTGTAATCACAGTCACAGAAATGAGCCTTTTCTTTCTTGATTAGGCCATGAGGATGGGTTGGCTAATGATGAAGGAATTTGCAATGGCTTAACTTGCTACTCACCTGTCAGTTTTCAATGCTGCTGTAGATTCTTAAAGTCAATTAATATCTTGCTTATGAAGTAATGTAATAAGACTGAAGGTCCCAAATAAGAAATCACCTTTATGCTTTAGTGCTATATCCCTACGCTCAGTTTCACTTTATTTAAGTACACCTCTACCTCGATATAACGCTGTCCTTGGGAGCCAAAAAATCTTACCGTGTTATAGGTGAAACTGCGTTATATCGAACTTGCTTTGATCTGCCAGAGTGCGCAGCCCCGCCCCCCCGGAGCACTGCTTTACCGCATTATATCCACATTTGTGTTATATCGGGTTGCGTTATATCGGGGTAGAGGTGTATCCCATTATCCTTTACTCTATCATTTCATTTATTTAGTTCTTTTATTTTCCTAATTTGGGAAACTGTTACTTTGAAATAATGTTCATTTCAGGATCTCAGAGGCACTGTGCTGAAAATCTGCAAATTCTTAGGAAAGCAGCTAAATGAAAAGGAGCTGGACACTGTTGTGGAAAATGCTACATTTGATAAAATGAAAACTGATCCCAGAGCAAACTATGAGTCCATGCTAGGCAATCTCCTGGAACGAGGCAAAGGACATTTTCTTCGGAAAGGTAAGGCAGAAACAGCCAAATCTAATAAATATTTAATCCTGCAGATCCTGGCACAGGACGTGTTGAAGCTAGCTGCCTAGGACTTCCAATCACAACTTTCCATCCCCAGGAAACAATTGGCTTCGGGGCACTAAGACTGTTGAGTGAGGGTGTATCGCTGTGTAACAATGCACCAGACACCACATCTCACAAATTAAAAGAGAGCTGCGCTACTTTGCTCAATGCAATATCTTAAATGTTTGCCTAGCAAAGTACTGCAGCTTTCTTTTGATCTGTGAGAAAAAAGTGTTAATATTTTTTAAAAATGAAAATGTTCAATAAGGTCTCTTGGAGGGTAACGTTCATTTTGTGTCATTTGTAAAAGGGAAGGGTCTTCTTCAAGAAATTAAAACATGTAAACATTAGAGAAAACTGAAAGCATTTCTGTCTGATGGGCATCAGAACTGATTTTGTTTCTACAACTTCCAGGGGTTATTTAGAGTATGAAATTAGCCAAAGAAATAAAATCTAAGGGACAATTCTTGTGGCTGAGAGGAGAGGGGTATTTTTCATGTTGTAGCCCTTATATAGGAGAGTCGTAAATAGATGTCAGGGGTTTGTGGCCTTCTTATACTGCTGAATAGGAGGGGGATTCAGTTAGATGGTAGCGGGCACTGTATGGTATGGTATGGAAAAGGTAGAGAACCACTGCCTACTGTTAAGTACAGGATTGCCTGAAAAGGATGTTCAGAGAAGCTCATATTTCTCTTAATAGTAACTACTTCCTTTTCTTCTAAAATTTGCAGTGAAATAAATCAGTACAGGAAGATGATAACTGAGATGTACAAAACCACTGGTTCTTAAAACAGAATTAGTGACATTGTCTAGAAATACTGGGTCAAATTAGTTACACTGCACTCAAAGTTATATTACCCACACCTTCAGGACTGGAAATGTACTGCCAAAGCCCTAGAGAGCTACGTTCTGGGGAGATGAGAGAGGAAGGAATGGAGGAGAAAAGAAACTGCATCCAACTAGCAGCATTCACAGCCTCTTACCTGCACAAGCAATATTCCAATTATAATAAAATGTCCAAGTGGCAGCAAAGCATCTAACCACCAATTTCTCTTCTGTGTCTCCTGCCCCAGGCACCATTGGAGACTGGAAGAACACAATGACTGTGGCACAGAGCGAAAGGTTTGACAATGTTTTTAAGGAGAAAACGAAAGACCTGTCTTCCATGTTCAGCTGGGATATAAATGACGACATATAGGCTGGTTTCCAGTTGGAAAGAGGTGAAAGTGCGCTAAAGAAAATGAAAATACGTTTTTGTCTCCAGTGGTCATAAAAATCCATCATTCTGTGCAAATTAAAGATTTTAAACCTGCAAAACTGTTTACTTCTTACACATATTTGCACATCACCATAGTACCCCAGTTCTAAGCTATGAAAAGCTGTTACATACTGTCATGTTCTGGAGTGCAATCCAGGCCAGTCAGGGGTTGTTTCCCCACATGTCCTATAAACCTGGGTGTCTTAACTGCCCTGAGGCGGTGGCTGACAGCCTGGACACCAACAGCCAGCAGACAAACATGCAGTATCCTGAGTGTCTGCTCTGCAGCCCTGGTTCAGCGCTCTGACTCCAGCCACCTGCCTACGACACAACAGCCCCGCTATAGTCTCGGTCACCCAATTACCTAGTGCAGCGGTGACCCAAACACATGCCCAGTCCTGAATTTTCCCCAAACTGCTTTCCAATATCTAGCCCTTTCCTGGACCATTCAGAGAGACGCCTGACCATCCTTCTGGTCAGGATCTCCCACAAAGTCCAATGTGCTTGGTTCCTTTGTCTTCTTACATGAAACATAACTTGGGGTTCTTCGCTCCTTTCTTTTATAGTCCAGTGTATCTTTAATATGAATTCTTTTGAAGGTTACCTCTCAATGTAAGTCATAAAGTTTATTCAAACTATTAGGAAGGTAACATGGAGTCTCCGGGTGAAGGAAAGTCCATGCTGATTTCTTCCCCTCCTGGTGTTTGAAAAATTATCTATTTCCTGCAATCTCCTACTGCTGTAATGCTGTGTGCTTATCTTCTCCCTTTGTTGGCTTGATGGTCTTGTTTACCTTCTGTGTAAATTGCTTTCCCATTGTCTCTTAATGTAGCTTCTTGGTGGCAGAACCACATTCCTTTGCCTAGGATGGGATAGCTTCAGCCCCGCCCTGCCTGGCAGACATTTTGGTAACATAATTACCAAGGTGTTTGTAATTTTGAATTTGTATTCGGTATCCAGATCAGACAATAATATTATTGATCAGTATATGTGATGGGGTGTACCAACCCTGCACTGTTCCAGCAAGGGTTAACCACTCACTTTGGGCTGGGGAGTCCACGCCCTCTCATCCTTGCTGGGCATGCTCCAAGTGGAATATATAAAAGGGAGCAGCTCAGTTCAGTCAGGGCTGGCTGATGGAGGAGAGTGGTTGCATGTTACAGGCTCCTGTCCCCCTACCCCTCCCTGTGCCTAACACTAGGCCTCTCTGCCCTGAATGCAAAGGCAGCTACATAGACTCTGGCCACTAGGCATCACTGCACTGAACACAAGAGCAGCTACATAGATTCTGGCTGCTAGGCCATGCTACCCTGAAGGCGAGGAGCCACATTGACTGAAAGGGGGTGTTTTCCCCCTTCTTTCTCCCCTGATGGCCTGATACCCTGTGACAGTATGTTATTAGCTTTTCATTGCTATCTTACATGACACCTTCTGGACACAGGTTATGACATTAGTGAGTTGGGGTACATTCCATTCAGCTGGTCAGGCCAATTGAAACTCACTACCAGATACCAATGTGCCCTTTGCCGTCTTGCACTGGGATGCCGTTAGGGTCACACATGCAAAACACTTAACTACACACAATGCCCTTCCCTGCACCCACACCACCTCTACCCCTCAGATGTAGAATAAGTGTTGACAAAACCCTACTGGAATCATAGTATCTCAGTGAAGTAGTATGTATTTTGGTAGAATTTATTTTAAGAGCTGAACAAAGTTATGAGACTTCTATAGACACATGCCTCTTTTTTTTTTAATTGGAGTTGTATGTCTAATCCACCATGCATGGAATTAGAAACTTACCCATTATTGTCCATCTGAGTCGCTGGTGAAAGCCTTTGTTGGTATGACTTGCATGTTACAGATTTCAGCAGCCTTATCGGAGAATGCTGCACTTGTTTTTAAACACATGTCATTTCTAAACTGTGGATTCTAGAAGTCCTGTCATGGAAAATCATAACGGCCCAAATTCATCCTTGATCTAACTTTGACTGCAATGAGTATTTCCAAATAATTTCACCAATTCTGTTTTAGGCACCAGTAGCCCAGCTCAGTTCCTATCATCGTGGAGTGATTTTTTCCCATCACAAATGTTAGAGGGAAAACTGGGAGTAGGAAGTAGTTACTGTTAAAAGCAGTATGAACTTCTCTGAACATCCTTTTCAGGCAATGCTCTATTTGATACAAGATGGTGGTGCTCCACCTTTCCCATTTCCATTCCAGGGCCCCACTCCCATCTATTGGGAACCCCCTCTCTTGTTCAGCAATATTGGAAAAGCAGGGTGGATGCTAACCCCTGATGTCTACTCATGACTGAGAACCTAAGATATAAGGGATCTGATATGCTAAACACCCATCTCCTGCTCTCTGGCACATGAATAATTTCTTAGATTTTATTTATTTGGCTGGATTCGTGCTCTAAATAATCCCTGGAAACTATAGGGCACCTGAGCTGATCTGCCTCACCATTTGTGAAATTGCACAGAAGCACAGAAGACAGGATTGCTTTCAGTTTTCTCCTACTAATCACAGATTACATTTTATAAATGGCACAAAGTGATTGTTACCATCCAAGAGAGCTTTTAAAAAAGTATTTTGTCAAAACATGTCACTGTGTATTTCCCAGCTCTGTTCTGTGGACGCTTGCAATGTTGCACTCAGCAAAACAGTGCAAGTTTCTTTTCACCTTTGAGAAATGGTGCCTGGCGCTTTGATACCCAATGATAAACCCCAATCACAAATCATACTGCCAGAAAGCCAATTCTTACCTAAAGGCAGAATGTTCTGCTTGTGACTGGAAGTCCTAGGCAGCTAGCTTCAACACATCATGTGCCAGGATCCTCAGGATTAAATATTTATTACACTTGGCTGCTTCTGCCTTACCTTTGCAAAGAAAATGTCCTTTGCCTTCCCCTAGGAGATCATCTACCAAGGACTCATTTTGCCCTAGGATCAGTTTTCATGTTATCAAATGTTGCCTTTTCCACAACAGTGTCCAGCTCCTTTTAATTCATCTATTTTCCTCAGACTTTCAGATTTGCAGCGCAGTGCTTCTGAGATTCTGAAATAGGCATTATTGCGAAGTAACAGTTTCCCAAATTAGAAAAGTAAAAGAGCCAAATAAATAAAATGAACCCAGAGCTGTATCACTGAGGAATGAATGTGATTCTCCTTACTGGGACCATCAAAGTGCATCAAATGCAAGATTTCCATTCACTGTCAGAGTTTTCATGAGTATTAAAAACTGGCAGGTGACTAGCAAGATAAGCCATTAGAAACTTCTTCTTTAGCTAACCCTTCCTCTTGGCCTACCAAAAGAGCATAAGTTCATTTCTGTGAGTGAGAATAACATTTCCATCAGCATTTTAAACAAAGGCTGTCATAGTTTTCTGGCTTTCTACATACTGTAGCCACTTTGATTAATGGATCTGTCTGTCTTAGAGCTACATGAAACAGGAAACATCTCAGGAACTGGACCTCTTAATGGGAAGGGACTTTCTTTGCTTTATTTATCAGCCTTGATAGTATTCTTCTCAATTTGCTCCCTGCTGGTATCACCAGAGATACTGTTTCTGCTTTTTTCCCCATTTAGGTAAGAGGTGCTCTCAGATATATGAAAAAACAGAGTGTTACGTGTAATTAAAAACCATTTGAAATTGATTTAGCTAATCAGCACAAATTCCTATGTTGACAACTCTTGCGTGAGTGTGGGGATATTAAAGAAGGTACTAACAGTGATTCCCCCAAGGGACAGTGACCCCCTCATAATTTGTCCCCCACACTTTAAAATCCAACAGTTTCACCAAGTACAAAAATCTCTTGGGCCTTCTGTTAAAACTTGTAAGCCACTGTCTGTAGAAACCATTGATTATATCTGTCCTGTGAAAGATACTTTATTACTATGTAAAACTTACAAACAAGTTAATTGACTTTGTTCCTGAAGTAATTGATACAGTGTAAACAAACACTATAAGCCATTAAGTGACTTTCACTTCATTCAATGGCTCCTAGCTAGGACAGACCCCCCCCCACACCCTCTGTGATTAAAGGGCCGGGAGTCTCAAATGAATTAGCACACACCCCGAAAGTGGTGGAGACAGTAAATTAAAATATGGTTAAGGGATGGAATGTATGCTGATGAATGCTTGATATACACGAATGGTTAGGGAGGTGCCAGCCTAGAAAGGGAGTATCCATCGGCCGAAGAATGTGTCAAGTGGATGACCAGACAACCCGCGGAGGGTAAACTGGGATCCACCCAATCACCTGGAAGGATGAGAAACACAAACTTTGGACAGTTTAGAGCCACCAGGAATGTGCTCAGGAATATGTCCAGGAATGTGCCATCTGCTGATTGAGTCAGCAACAGCAGAATGAAACAGCTCCCATAGACTAACCTAGGAATTAAACCCTATAAGAATGGACTCTCAAGACTGATGATTTTGAGTCTCTGGTTCTGCTGCCAACCTCCAGGAGCATCAGGTGGATCTGACACAGACTCGGCTCCATCCTCATGACCAAGATACCTGGGCAGTAACTTGGCATGAGCAACTTCTAGGCTGATAACTATAACACCTATACAGAACTTGAATGAATGATTGTGTGAATGAATCTATCTCTCTCTCTCTCTGTGTGTGTGTGTGTGTGTGTGTGTGTGTGTGTGTGTGTGTGTGTGTGTGTATAAGGAATAAGTC